TAGTGAGGAAATGAGACAGATGCATCAGTAGGTTGGAAAGCATTTAATTCTCTCTGGAGCCTAGCACTGTTGCAGCCTTGGCTATGTAAAATCCCTCAGTGTTTCTGCAGAGCTTCGTTATTCATATTAAACCCTGCCAGATTCCTCCGGACCCACCAGTCGCTGTCCTAGCTGCCATCACCTCTCTTGTGAGGATGGGGCTTGGAGCAGCTGGCCTGGTGCGTTGGGGGAATTGCTGTTGACCTGCCCGAATACGCGAGGAGGGCGAGCGGAGCAGCAGAGCTGTGCGGGGACGTCTGCCTGTCCTGCGGGCACGGGGCAGCTCTCTGCCCGCTGCTGAGGAGCGACTGAAGGTTGCTGCTGGAGTGCGGAGTGGGTTGGGCTCCTGTATTTTCCACCCGCTGGATGTTGCTTTTCTTCTTAAAATGTTCCATGTTTTCCTGTGCTGGTGCAGTTTGGTGCCTTGGTCGTGATCAGTGACATGGCTTGCTTACTGCCCTGTTGGTTTAGACCAGACCAGGCCTGATTTTTTGCAAGAGATGACCCTCGGCACGGCAGGGTGACCAAGTCCCAGGGAAGAGCTGGCTCTCCCTTAGCTGCCTGATTGCAATTGCCTGAGGGAAGACGTTGAGATGCTTGTGCAGGGTTGGAGAATCAACAGCTTTCCTCCTGGCTTTGGGTGAACCTTTTAATATCTCTCTGTTTCCACTCCTGTATCTGAAATGGGGTTACTGGCGCTGGGGTTAATGGCCAGCAGTGGTCGTCTGCAGCCCCCCGTCCCTCCTCCAGTGCAGCTCTGCAGTGGGAGACACACACACAGGTTTGCCAAAACCAGCTTGTTTAAGCTCTGGGGTGTCAGTTTATTTCTCAAGTTGAACACTGTAATGTTTCCACCCCTTGCCAGGGGTGTTACCAGACTTAATGAATTAATACACGAAGAGCTTTGAGCTCTCCAGATGAAAGGCACTGCAGAAGGGCTAAGGATTATTATTTGTGGTTCTAATTTATTTTCCATCAAAGGGATGAGAGGGGTGAGAAAATACCATTTGTTCTGGAGCTGGGAGCAGGAGTTTGAAGTCTTCCCCCTCCGGCCCTTTATTTTTCTTTTCCTTCCCCTTTGTGTGTTTCTCTGAGAATTTCGTGGAAGTCCCTGCTCTGTCTTTTCTTCTCTGGACACCAGTGTGTGAAGCAGCTGGCACAGTGCTAATCACCAGAGACTTCAAGGGCCATAGCATGTTAGGAAAGTGCCTGCCCTGGTTTTCAGTAGCAGCCGATTTCTCGGCATTGCAAATAAGTGCTGGTTTCAGCATGAGTTCAGCATTCAAAGTAAAGGGAAGATTTCACATGGAATTTTTTCTCAAAAGCATCTGGCAATACCCTGAGTCCCATGTCGTCGGATTCTGTGGCATTCAGTGATTTTCCTTTGTAATAGCTCAGTTTTGGATGCTTTGGGAATTCCCACCTTTGAACAATGGCAGATATTTTCTGGCATTATTTTTTGTAGTCAAGTAGCAATAATTTCCAAGGGGGTGGGGAAGTGACAGCGATGGCTTGGGAGGCGTGCTGGGAACTGTGTGCAATCCTGTTTTCAGGGTGCAGAACAGCAGTCGGCTGGTCCTGGTGGGAGAGCAGGTCCTCCTCCGGCATTGGCTCGGGGGTCTCGGCCCTGCTCCACCCGTGTGGCAGCCCCCTTGGCAATGGCTTGCCAGCTGCCCGTACCGAACCGAGCGGGTTGTGGGGTCAGATCTCCGCTGACGGTCCAAGCACAGAGCTCACCTCTTGTCGTCCGCAGCTGCCGGGAGTGCCGCGCACCGCTGCTCCCATGGCCGGCCCCACCGGAGCTGCCCGTCCCTGCCTGCCGGGTGCTTGGGGTGCACCGAAACATGGCTGGGAAGAGCAGGGCAGCTGCGGTGCTGCATCGTCTCAACTCATCGGTTTCTGCGTGCAGCCCCAGAGCAGTCGTACAGGACTTCACGCTAAAATTGTCTTGCGGGAGAGACTCACAGCACTAGAACAAAGTTTTGCCCCAAGTGGTGAATAGAAATTCACCCCAGTTCCTAGGTTTTTGTGTTGCTTGCTGATTTATGAAGGCACAGCTGTACCAATCCTTAACTGCCCATGCTTTCAACTAATAAGATTAGAAGCTAAATAGCAGCAGGATACGTGGTGAATTATGACCATTTGATAGTTCCTGCAAAAATCCTCATTATTGCATGTGAAGTTTCACTGCTTTAAAAGACTCGATGGGCACAGGCGGGCTGTGCTCGTGTATCTGTGAGCAGGAATCAGCCTGTTGTGGTTTTACTGCTGCTTTTAGCACGGACTAAACCAAATACAGCTCTGCATGTGACTTGATCTGAGCTGAGGGCTGTCTCTTCAGATCTGCAGAAAGCATGAGATGACTTCGTTTGGTTGGAGCTGCTTGTGGCACCAGCTGAGTTTTCATATTTCAATTTTGAGTTTATCAGTACTGATGTTCTGATGCAGAATTACTTTCTGTGCCTTTCTGCATTGGTTCAGTAATGCCTGTGGATGCTTTAGAGCTGGAGAAGGTGCCTCTAAAATGCTGGCTCCCGACAAGGATTTCTGCTGCTGTGGAAAAGCTGGTCTTGGTTTGGGTCATTGGGATTACACTAGCAATCTTTTCTTCTGTTTTCTGTAGCTTTTTGTGCCATGCTGGTCCTCATGGCAGTGGTGTTGGTGGGGCTGCACTGGGGCTGAAGCCTTCTCACCATACACCTGCCTGTGCCGTGCTGGGGTGGTTTTGGTGACAGCATGGACAATGAGGACTTCCTACTAGTTCTTTAATCTGTGTGGCAGCAAAGCGTCTTAACTTCTGTAATATAAATTGTCCTTTGGTAGTTTTCATGTAATAAGAGTAATTCACTGGCAATAGTTAGTTGGGTGCTACATGCCGTGGGAGGTATTTCTCACGAGGTTCCTCTGTTTCTCCCATGGAGGTGTCCGTGTGACCCGCGTCCCTCCTATGCCTGGGCATATCTCTGTAGATCACGGTGCTTGCGTGCAGAGGTACCTGAACAGCTTCAGACTGTGAGCGTACCACGCTGCTAACCGCCTGTGCTGACCAGGGTGCGCCGTGCCCTGCAGTGGTATGCGTGCTGTGCCAGGAGACAGGAATGAGCGCACTGGGGACATACGGTTATGAAGCTCCTCACAGAGGATAAAGCCACAATTAGCTAACTTTACGTCCTCTATCAGGAACTCCAGCCTTCTCTTATGTCCCAGAAGTAGATGTGCTTCAGTTTTGAACCGCAGCCCTTCTGTTTCACTGCACTCTCCTTGCAGCCCCAGGAGTACAGCTCAGGCTGATGCATTGCACTCCTCCTGCTTCCAGCATCCTCTGTCTTGCCTTTCCCTGCAGAACAACATCTGTTGGCATCCAAATTTTGGGTGCTTCTCCAGTGCCTGTCATTGCCCCCCACTGCCGGGGCAGGCTGCTCACAGCAGAGCCAGCCGGTCGGAGCGGAGCCCTGCAGAGGTTTGCGCTGTGTCAGGGCTCCCGTTGGGGACTGGGAGGAGAGTTGCTAAGAGTTGCTTTTTGCTCAGCTGTGATTAAGCGTTCCTAGCAGCAAGCCCCTATGCTGTTGCTATACTTAACATGCCAAACTCAATTATGTTGAGAAGAGAGTTTAAAAACAAGCTTTTGTCTAATGTACAGTATTTTGGCAGCAATTAGCTCTGAGTTTTATCACTTTCCCCAAGGTGAACATGAGAACTATCAGTTATGCATGAGAAACTGCTCTGTTGTGAGAGAGGAAGGCAGCTTCCTAGTGAGGATAAAAGGGTTTGCACATACTGCAGGGCACGGTTTTCAGTACCACCTTGCTTGAACATCCATCTGTATTTGATAACTTTGGGACGTGGTTTCTTTGTGTAAAAAGCGCTTGCAGGGTAGTTCACAAGGTGAGAAGGAAATCGCTGGGGACAAGCAGTGGCACAGGCCCTCTGGCCATTTCTTTCCCAGGGGCTGCTGCAGGGCACAGGTTTTGCCACCAGTGGGGCCCCTGTAGTCACACTGCCCCAGGGGCGGTGCTGAGCCAGGGAGAACCATGCTTTTGGATGGTTTCCTCCCCCCCCCCCCCCCCCTTCTCTGAAGATCCCTGGCCCCTCCCCCTAACAGAAGGGGTTTTAA